ACCTCAAAGTGCACAAGCGACCAACTTCAGCATTGGCTGCGATTTTGAAGCTGAAATCGCGTTCGGTGTGAACGCACCATTATCTGGTGTTTTTGGGATGGTAATTACGCAAATCTCCTCTCCTCATGCGCGAGCACCTGGATACGCATTCATAAGTTTATGCTCCTCATTTACACACTTTTCCTGAAGATAGAAGAGTTTGTTGAATCTGACGTGACATGTTCGTACGAACCCTTCGTACGAACAAAAGTAAGAGAAATTTAGGATAAGAATACAAACATGTTCTTGCATGAGGCCCATTGTTTCTACAGCTGTCTTATGCATACTTGAGGGGCCTTAATTTATCTAAAAAAAATTTAAGTTACTAAAGAAATTTCAGTTTTTGTAAAAAATGTAGTGTAGATGCCTGATGCTTAAAGATTTTTGTAAAAAATGTGACTTGTTTTAAAATGGCCAAAGAAGCTGAATATAGCAGAAAAGTGGCTGAAAAAGCTGATATAAAGAAAGAAGAAAGAGTTTGCTGCCAAGCAGTAAGAAGCTGACATTTCCACAAAAAGGTCAATTTAGCTGGAAAAGGCTAAAATTAGATAAAATTGCAGAAAACAGCTTTAATTATCAGAAAACTGCTAAATGAAATATAAAAAGCCTAAATTATCAGAAAGAAGCTAATAGAAGCACACAAAGTTTAAATTGGAAGAAAAAAGGCTGAATAGGTAAAAGAATAGCTGAAAAAACAGGATGAAAAACTCAAATGAGCAAATGAAGAAGCTGAAAGAAGCTTAAATATGCACAAGACTTTAAAAAAATATCACAACTGTGTGAATGCTTGATTAGCAATCACACAATTATACATTTCATCAATTTATCCCAAAACCACGAAATAATATTTTTATGACAATACAATCATATGCATTTTAATTACACATGGGATGTGGGTCTGTCCCTCAAGGGCTTCTTGATGATAAGAGATAATGTTCTCCAAAATGTTAATTATGCATCTGTAATTTTAAGGGACTATGTTCCCTTCTTTTCAAAGTGATAGATCTGTGGTGCACATTAATCCATCTACTTTATATGGCTCAAATCCTTCTGCTTGGCACAGTAGAAGCCACAGTATGTTGCATAGTTAAAATGCATATCTGTACAGCTAAATAGCTCGAATTCCCCAGGCAGTCTTGATGAAGGGCATGACAGCACAACATTTTTGAAGGGTTACAATGACCTCATTAATTCAGATTTATTCCTAGAACATATTTCTGTGCATTTCTGTGTGTTTTCTTATTTCCTCAAATGTTCTGTACCAGTTACATATTTGCCCAGCATTGTAAATTAAATAAATTGTCTAGTTTTTGTCAGTAATGCATTCAGGGACCTAGTTATTACAACTAACACTGTTACTTGTTTTTGGGTGGGGGTGGGATGGTATTATGTATTTTTTAGGCACATAGTTCAGTTCTGTACCACAATGGAATCACGATTTTACCGCCAATGGTTTTGAAAAAGCTGTATATTTCAAAAATAGATTTGACTTTGCAACATAGTCTATCTAAACGCCTTGAAGTTGGCCTCTGTCTCTTTAAGAACTTCCTACCATTTCTGACACTCCATTTCAGGACATCATCACAACCATGCTTCAGGAGGAGGGGTGCTCTGTTGGGTGGGAGCTCGGCTGCAGACTGAGCTCCAGGGAAGAGCTTTGTGTAAATAGGCGGTGCTTTGTACCTTCAAGTGTTTAGGTAGCTCCACGTGGCTACCACAGGAGATTGATGATTTCTCTTAACATGCATGAATGAGTCAAAGCAACAYCCTGGGTATGTTTTTGATGAGGGAAYGTCATTATAACATGATATAAAACTTAAAATGTCTGTTTTGCATAATACCCCCATTGATCTATAACCTACTCAAATGTATTGCAGCAGTTTTGATCTGTTACAAAAAACAATGTTAAATATTCTAAACTTGAGAATTTCTAAGGCAGTAGCMAATTTATCAAACAACTTTTGTTTTCTGAACAAAGTGGAGACATGCAACGAAGAGTCTAGTAAACAGTGKTTAACTCTCCTAACTACTGTGGTTACCATTGGTCACTGTTTAGGTATGAAATGAGTAACAATGAACCTCTTAGTCCCTTTTTTTCCCATCTGTCCATCTCTTCAGAAAATAAAAGCTGTTTTAGAACCTTTGCTCAATGCTGCCTCAGAGACTTTAGGCATAAAGTCACGCCTGTTTCGACTGTGGTTCCAGGGTGGCAGGCGCAGTCCTCTCCACCCCAACCCCCCACCCAAACAATTTCTTTTCATCATCTGCATCCCTGAGCTGCTGTGCATACAAAGTGGGCAGTGTTGAGTCACTGCTTCTCTCCTGACCYCAAAGAGGTTTTGGAGTAATATTTAAGAGGGCTTCCTGTTTTAAAACCGATGAAGGAAAAGGAGTAGTCAATAGACAGTTGACTTTTTTAAATCTGTACACTTTTAGAAACTTGTTCAGTGTGTGCACCCATTTCCTCTGAAGAAATGTTTGTAAAATTGTTCATCCTTGCTGTTCTGTCCTCTTAATTTATTTTTACTGTGCAGATCTGTTCTTTTACGCTATGCAGACAAAAAGAAAATGAAGTGACTTGAAAACTCAAAAGTTGAGAGAGGAACCCATTGAAGCAACTTYAGCCTTGATTTTACTCAGTTTCCAGTTTTAAAAATGCACCGCTTCCCATAATTTAGTTTGTGTGTAATTGGGCATGATAAGACATAGTACGTAGCCCTTTCCTATTAATTACTCACAGTAATTAAGCTTGATTGTCTTATATCTTCTTTTTTTCCCCTATATCTACTTTTTATTCTGTTTTCAGGAAAGATTCTGTTTAGACGGAGCCATATCAGAGACGTGGCGATGAAGAGACTAAGGCCTATCAACGAGTACTGCAGGGTGAGTTTATTGATATATATCAGATTTAAAACCCTGGGAGTTCTTTGTAGGATTTCATGTAAAACTTCTTGATCCAGGAGTATTTATCTTCTCAGCAACAAGTGCTAAAATTTGAATAAGATTGTCGAAAACAGAAGAGAAATATCTTGCCAATGTTATATCAAGTGAGTGAAAAAGGCTTTTTTTGAATCAGAAACTTGCATGAAACTGCACATCCTGAGCTACTATAAGCTTCAGTTTGACACAACTCATGCAGTACACAATGACTGACTAATATTTAGCTTTTTTTTGGCAACGGACTATTTGTTAATAACATTAACGCTTTTTTGTGGTAACCAGGAAATGTTTCTATTTGTAACGGGGTGTAACTTTGTCATCAGACAAAAATAAAGCCGATTACTCTTTATTTCTCATGAGTTCAGTAAAAACAGTGGTGGTTGTATTTCTAATTCTTATTTGCAGAGCTGAGGTAAAGACCAAAAATGCTCACTGCTGATCTTGCTCCAGTCAGCATAACCACAACACGTAGGCTGAGTTTGTTAAATTCTTAATTGTGTTACTCCTCCTTTGAGTGAAAAAATTTTACTTGACCATTATTCGTTGTTTTTTTATGGCCTTTTTTAATAGAATTTGGTCAGTAGTCTTTACAGATAAGTAAATCATGAAATCATCACAGCTTATCAGATTCTTATATGCTGAAAAATCTTTTTTTTTCTGACTAAAAACAATTTTTCACAAGGCCTCAAGGTGAAGACACTTTTCTGCATGATCAACAGCCTTGAGGACTGGAGGGCCCCTTGTCCTCTGGAGTTAAAATAATGTACCACTGATGTAGCAACATCTTTAGCCACTTACGTTCAAAATAAGAGATTCGGGGAGGAATGAGTACACTTGTTGATTTACGTCTGTAGGTGGGGATTTTTTTTTTGTAAGAATCTCTGAGCCTGTTCTCAATTTCTTTCCTCTTCCTTTGTGGATSTTATTTGTGTGTGGATTTAAATAAAACTATACATTTTAGGGGTTAAAGAATTGATTGATCTCAGGTGTTTTTGTTAGGCTGATATATAAAACCTCACATAACATTTTGATAGACCCCCTCCGAGCTCGGTTTTACATCCAAACCTTGCTTCAGGAACAGATGTGGCATCTGTATCCACCCGGACTYGTAGCCAGGTTGATGAGGTGAAACTCAGTGTTTGTTTTCTTGGAAAAGCTGAGTCAGCTCTCGTGTCTTGCAGCTGTGGCTTTATCCTGACTCAAATGGAATTTCCCTGGTTGTGCAGCTGTACATTTTTATTCACGTCGGGAAACTTCTTTTAGATGAAAGAAAGTTTCTTTTAATTGTTTTTTTTTTTAGTTTTGCTTAAACCAAGATTAAGACTGGTGCTTTGAGATTAGGTGTTTGATCAGAGTGTTTTAAAATGGAACTTTCAAATATGTCTTCTGTTTTTAAAGCTTCAGAAGAAGGGATTTTGTACTTAAGGCAAGTTATACTTTAAACTAGGGCTGCACAACACATTAAAAAGCTGATTATCATTGCAATATCTGCATGTGCATAATCACTATCGCAAAGGACAGCTTGGACTGCATCAAATCATAAGCTAGATGTAAATGATACTGGCATAAATCCTAAAGCATGTGGGAAGTGTTGTGCATATTGTGTTAACTCACAGAGCRGAACAAAGCCTCAACTACCAGCCACGATGGTGAAACAGATGCAAAGAAATACCATATGAACCGGTCTCTGTTCCTGCAGAGGTTTCWTTCACAGTATGCGCCTGCCTTCATAAAGATTCTTTGCACGAATGCAATCATAATGCACTGCCCCTTATGAGAAGTAGATCTTTAAATTCCATTACATATTTTACCTTGGAGAATACACACATGCTGACTGATTCATGCCCCCACCACACACACACGCAGACATGGGCACTCACAATTACCTTAATGTGCCCTCCTGTAAAGAGCCCCCATAAAGTCCATTTAATGTAATTTACCCTGATACTCCCTCCTGTCTCCTCTCTGGGGAGAATAGTAATGAGTGGACAGGCCACAGGCTGACATCAGGAGATAAATAAAGCGAAGGAGAGGATAACTAGTTCAGGGTGCACTCTGACCTGAGGCTCAGCTTAACATGCTGGGATTAAAAGTTATAGAACTTTTAAAAAATAAAATCATAAACTAGATGCTTGGCTTTAAACTTGAAAGTACAGATAAAGCTATTGTAAAACATTRTATTTTGTCCTTTAGGCTTCAGCAATATGTATCGTAAATTAGTAAACACACATAGGCATATATGTCGATTGGTATGTTTAATTTAGCAGTAAACAAAGCGGTCCCTTGCCTGTGGTAGTAATTGCACTTCTTTCTTTTGACACATGACAAGCTGCTGGCTCAGATCTGCCTCCTTAAGAATGACAAAAAAATGTAGCACATATGACAAGGACGTTTGAGTTGAGCTTTTGGCTTCCTTTCCATATAAATCAACCCTGTTGTGTCAGAGTGTGCTAGACATTAGTAAAGATTGACTCGTCTCCTTTTGAAGGGCAAAACAGAAACACTTAGCAGTATGAAAAAACTGAGGCCAGCAGAGGAAACGATGGCAGAACAGCTTTGCATTGACATTGTATAGAGAAGTGGCCGAGCTTCATCAGAAGTAAGAAACTGTCGTCACATGGTCACCGTTGGCAGCTATGCTGTWTTCTCTTTTAGGGTATCAAGATGTCGAGGTGATTATCTGTTTCACAGCTTCGGCAGAGTAAAAGTGAAAGATTGGAAGGAGCCGATAAAACTCGGACATAAAATAGAGTTGGGAAGAGCGACTTGGTTGATCAGATAAGCTTCGTGTGTGTGTGTGTGTGTGTGTGTGTGCGTGCGTGCGTGCGTGCGTGTGTGCGTGCGTGCATGTGCATGTGGTGTTTGTGAAAGAGATCACAAACAGAAAACTGAATGCTGTTTGTGTTTCAGCTCAAGTTGTGTTGTCAGGGCTAATCTCTGCTTTCAGCGATCCTTTGCAGAACTGATAAGGCAGAAAAGACAAATCAAACACATTACATAATATAATAA